TCTTCAGAATATTATACTTGTTGAGCAAGAATAAATGCTGACATACAGTACAATTCATATATTTAGACACAATCCCAGACAACTCAGGACGTCTAGTCTAGGAGGAAGCGTTAATGTCTGGGACTTTCCAAAGAGCAGAGTGACCCTTAAAAGAACTCAAAACAGAATAATGATTGCTTTTTATGATTCCGTAACAGTAAAGAAATCACATCTAAATAACATCTCAATTATATCCCTAGTAAATCATTACTTATTCTTTGTATTAACAGAAAACTTTGGTTAACAGAAACACTGATTAATATCCATTGGTTTAGTTTAAACTTTAATAATTCATCTTATTATTAAATCAGTTTAAACATCGCCTCAAACTCTTTCGGACCAATACCCCCAGTCAATTTACATCAAATTACTAGTTACATTTCATCTTTCAGATTCAAAGCATGAGGACAAAAAGCCTCATCCTCACTCTCTCTCAGCTTTCGTTCTGCAATGTTTTGGTGGAGGATATACAGACATAGTATTAAGATTAGGATTCAGATTCTGGCAGCACAACCAGGTCGCAGATCAGTGTGAAAAAGTAAACTTTAACTGATCGGCCAAGAAAATTATACACACACATAAACAGAGAAAGAGAGAGAGATCAATAGCTGATTATCACATTGATTTATCAGTCTACTCAGGCTTTAGCAGAGCTCAGTAACACTGATACTAATAACTGATCACATTGATTTATCAGTCTACTCAGGCTTTAGCAGAGCTCAGTAACACTGAGATTAATAACTGATCACATTGATTTATCAGTCTACTCAGGCTTTAGCAGAGCTCAGCAACACTGAGATTAATAACTGATCATCACATTGATTTATCAGTCTACTCAGGCTTTAGCAGAGCTCAGTAACACTGAGATTAATAACTGATCACATTGATTTATCAGTCTACTCAGGCTTTAGCAGAGCTCAGTAACACTGATACTAATAACTGATCACATTGATTTATCAGTCTACTCAGGCTTTAGCAGAGCTCAGTAACACTGATACTAATAACTGATCACATTGATTTATCAGTCTACTCAGGCTTTAGCAGAGCTCAGTAACGCTGAGATTAATAACTGATCACATTGATTTTTAGTGAGATGTGGTTCCTTTTAAAGTGCTGCATCAGATTCATCAGTTATCCTACCAGCTTCTTGTCCTGCACACCATCCAGATTAACCTGATGTTCAACATATCTCACCTTAAGCCTGTCCTTTGTAGCCCCTGGTTCCGGTCTCTGCCCTTCACGCCACAAGTGATCGCCAGGTCACCAGCTGACACAGGAACCAGCGGGCCAGCAGCTTGGGGGGGTACTGTAATGTCCCAGCCTCCTGCTAGGACACCTCCAGCCACTGGTGAAAACAGAGAACCAAGATGAGCTGATTAGGGCTAATCGGTGTCATCTGTTAAACGCTATATTTAAGTATATTTCATGCTGCCATGAGTATGTTTCATTGACTAGCTGGTAATGGTATTTTGCTTCCCCCTTGAGTTGGTTCTCACCAAGTAGTTCTTCAATGTAAGTAAAAAAAACTTTTTGAGTTTGTTTTACCCCCAGTGCTCAGGGAGCGAGGAAAAAAATAATCAGGGAAGGGAGTTTTCTGTTTGCATTTTTGTCGAATCAAGAGTTTCTATCCTGTTTTAAAATCATTTAGCTGAAACCCCCCCCCCCGTCCCCTTCAGTGGCACATGGCGTAGTGTTCTGGCCTAGCAACATCTCTCACCCCTTCACATTCTTGAGTATCTTGTTTTCTCCCTATTATAAGTTGTGGTTTTAAGCCTTTCTTTCTCCCCTGGTACTTAAGAATTTATTTTTCTTTACCCACCCAATTTATTTATTATCCACATGGGGTAAGACACTTGCCACGTTATGAAGATGCCAATATCAGCAAAATATTCACGTAGTATGTGTTTTTTCACCTTGTGTTAATATCCACAATCCAAATCCATTAAAGGTGCCAAAACTGAAAAAGACAATCAATTATAACACACACACACTTTCCTTAGGTTGTATCTCAACACATGCATAATAGAAATTATAATGAAATCTCTTAAAACAAAATAAGGGGACTGCAATTAAAAATAACACTCCGCAGTTTCCTATTACCCAAAATTCCAAGAAATATAGACTATGACCTATAAGACTGGATAGTTTTGTTTACAGTCTGCCACTAGATGGTGCTGTGTATCAGGTTTATTGAGGTTTATCATGAAGCTGCTAAAGATGTGGTTTTACTGAGGCTTAAGATTATTTTAATTGAGGTGCATTTTCAGTTCAAATATTTTAATATTCCATACTTAGGCCTATAAACCACCCACTATAATGTTTTGTAGACTTCATGGCATATTTTAATGAAATGCTGTAACAGGATTGAAATGGTGAAACCTCAGTTCACTCAAAATCGCCTTCAGCTGTGGAACAGACAGTCACACACAGCAATTCAGCCCCAGAGGCAGCAGCTCCTGTGGCTTAAATCACTGTCTGTCCAGTTTTCTCAGATTTGGCACAAAGAGATTTTAGCTTTATGCATATCTTTCACAATCTGACCAAAAGATATCCTTACTTCTTTTTGTCATAATTGTTGCCACCATTTGAACAAAGGAAGTTCACGAATAGAAGTTAGAAATAGGGAACCAGCCTTCTGACTGGAAGGTTGGCAGTTTGATCCCCTCGGCTGACAGTATGTGACTGAAGTGACCTTGAGCAAGGCACCTAACCCCGAACTGCTCCCTGGGCACCGTGGATAGGGCTGCCCACCACTCCGGGCAAGTGTGCTCACTGCCCCCTAGTGCCCTAGTGCTTGTGTTCAAGTGTGCATGGATGGGTTAAATGCGTATGTGTGTGTGTATATATATATATATATATATATATAGCATTTAAACAAAAAAAAACATCCATTGCAGACGTCCATTTGAGTTTCCAATAGCTTTATGCTGCGAAAAAACTTGGGTTATGTAGTAATTATGTAGCTTGTTTGTTAAATGTCTTACTCAGTAAACACGTATGTTCAGTTTGCAGATATTATATTACTATTACAATGTGTTATAAAACCTGACATTATGAAGTTGTACATTTTTGTTTTATAAAGTTATATACCAATAACTAAACTGCTTATTATTGATTATAAAGGCCTATGCCAGGCATTAGTAGGTATAATGCTTCATAATTCAATGCTTTATGCATGCATTTGTAATGCCTTATGAATTCAATAGGAAGGAATTCATAGGAAGTGCTCAAAGACTTTTTGTTGCTGTTTGTAATGATCACTGACATTAGTTCTTGCTTTAAGATCACTGGCACATCAAACATGAAGTCTACATAGAACAAAAGTCAAAATACATCCTAAGATTTTACTTACCAGCATTTCGTTCTTGTACTTTTAAGGAACAGCTTCTCACATATCCTTCACTGTTGTAACACAGACCATCCATAGTGGTTGTATTTTTTTCTGATGAGATTATTATTTTGTGGTCATTAATTGATTTATTGAAGAACAAGGCCAATTCTTTGTTTGTAATATTATTTGCCAGTGATGAGATTTAACCTTTTTGCACATCTATCTTTTTCTGAAAGTAAGAGATTCCCAGCTTCTTGACCTTACAGAAAGACTATGACCATAGGAATAAGGGAAGGTCAGATTTCATTGCAGAGCTTATTAGTATTATTAATCTGTTTCCACTGAAAATCACACCATAATTTAATTATGACACTACCCCTTGAGCAGCCAATCACATCAAAGAAGCCCACTGTTCATATTAAACTTCTACACATTTGTTGCACACACTTCATCAGTAAAGACACACACAAACACACACACACACACATGCCTCTAGATGCTGTAGATTGGCTTAAGTAACTTTAAAAGACATAAATTATTTGTTATTTTCAAAAACAGAAAGAGAGAAATGTCACAAGCTGCCTCAATAAAGTTAAGCCACTTGATGACTGCGAAGGAGGGGAAAAAATAGAGGCCGAAATCCACACAAAGTGTCTGTAAAGTTAAAGCATGATTTAATCACAGATACTAGCTGTAGCTGTAAGAAAGTGTAAGATGACACAAACACTCCACGTAATGTATCTTAACAGTGTGACTTTTTTTTACCATACAAGCAAAGTAAACTGACATTCAGAATGCACTCCAAGTTTACGACAAAAATTTAGTTATGCTTTTAAACTGCTTTTTTTTGCCATTGTTTTGTAAGGCCAATCAGGCAACAATTGTTACGATACTACACATTTTTTTAACAGAGCATGAATGGGTCAATCAGTGTTGTGTTTTAGACTCTGGTAGACTGAATCTGGTCTATTGCTTTTGGGGTCAAGACTCTGGTAGACCGAATCTGTTTGGTTGGTGTTGGATTTCAGGTTCTGGTAGACTGAACTCATGCTGATGTTATCCAGGTTCCCAGGTTGGTCAATTTCATAATTATTATAAACCTAAAATTACAGGAACACAATAAGTACAAATTCATATCTTATTCATAACACATTACACAATCGTCTGCTAGGCCTATAGACAGTACATTGAACTTAAATATATTCTGTCATTTAACCTTTGTTAGTATATAGATCAGACGCTGTTTTTACAACTTTATATTACAAGTTTTAATGTATTGTGTTTATTTTGTGAATGGTACTAGATTTAAAAATGTATGTTTAGAAGGTTAGAAGAATTCTTACAAGAAGTTTGCAAGAATTGTACTGTTTTCATCATTTTAGTAATTGTTGTTTTACACCATCAGCCTCATTCACTTACTGTTTCACTTGTTCCTGACTGTCTGTTACTGAAAGCAGAATCTGCAGAAAGAAAGAAAATATCAGACAGAAACACTGTATTTACTTATTTTCAACTTGAATAATTAATCAGGCATGAGAAAGATTGCCTGATATAGAAGTGGTTTGAATCACTGGTGTATGGTGAGGACATCAATATGTTCCATGTGTATGTGTGTTAATAGTACTTGCATCTCAGTTTGTAGATCAGTGCTGATCCTCCAATAAGCAGCAGAGCTACACAGACACATACAGTGATGATGACAGAGGAAGCTGGACATGAGAGACACAGAGACAAAAACAATAAGAACAGACTTATCATCTTCAGTTACGTCATCTTCCTAAACTGCTTGAACCAGCTAGAGTCACTGTTGCAATAACGAAAGCACAAAATGCCATTCTGGGGGATCCGAACTGCTCTGAGGGCAACTTGGAGACATTGTCCCTCCAGCGTGTCCTAAGATAACCTTGGAGTCTCATCCTAGTCAACCGTGCCTTTTAAGCCTCCAACAGGAGGCAGACAGAGGGCATCGTAATCAGATTCCCGAACCAACTCAATTGACTCCTCATGGAGAAGTAGAGGCTCTGCTTTGAGCTTATCCCTGATGGCTGACCTCATACCCTATCAAGTAGAGTGTAGTCTGCCACCCTGCGAAGAAAGCTCATTTCTACCATTTGTATCTGTGATCTCATTCTTTCGGTCATTACCCAAAGCTTATGATCATGGTGAGAGTTGGGATGTAGACCAACTGGTCTCCTTTCCAGCACCATGGCGTAAACCGTCCCAGGGAGGCTGAGCAGTGTGATACCCCAGTAATTGGCATGCACTCTCCGGTCTCTTTTCTTAAAATAGGAACCACCACCCAGGGTCAATTTGGACTCCATGTCCCCTACCTCCTCCGGTGCATGAGAAAAGTTCTCAAGCAGGTGGGAGTTCATTCAGTCATTCCCAGCCCACCCTGACTGTTCGCAAGGACCTACCAGGTCTGATCATCAGTCTTCCTTGCTGTCTGATCCAATTTATCGCATGATGGTGATCAGTTGACAGCTTAGCATCTCTCTTCACCTGAGTGTCTAGAACATACGGTCACTATTCAGATGAAACAACAACAAAGTCAGTTACTGACCTTTGATTCAAGGAATTCTGGTACCAAATACACTTATGAACTTCCTTGTGTTCGAACTTAGTGTTCATTATGGACAATCTATGAAAAGCACAGTCCAATGACAATTCACCATTTGGGTTTAGATCAAGCAGGCCATTCCTCCCATACACCCCCTCCAGGTTTCCCAGTCATTGCCAATGTGAGCATTTCCCAGCAAGACTATAGAGTCTGTAGATGGGGCCCTTTCCAGAGCCCCACCCACTCATTCCAAGAAGGCTAAATACTCCAAATTGTTGTTTGGTGCATAAGCATAGCCCCTCCCTATAATTTTAATTAACATTGAGGCGACCCTCTTGTCCACTAGGGCAAACTCCAACTGCATGGCAGCCTGCTAGGGGCTTGTGAGTACCCCCACACTTGCCCAGCAACTCACCATGTGCAACTCCTAAGTAGAAGAGGGACCAATCACAATCAAGGAGCTTGGTTCCAGAGCCGACACTGTGAATAGAGGTAAGCCCAATTATATCTACCTCCTGCACAAGTTCTGGCTCCTTCTACCCTGTGAGGTTACATTCCATATGCCAAGAGCCAGGTTCAACAGCAGGGGTCCATGCTCCCAAAGATCTCCCTGTCATCTTTCACTGCCTATAAGGCACTGCACTGGTCCCCTATGCTGAACATTTCCCACATGAGCCCACATCACTTGAAATTTAGTTGCATAACTCTTGTTTACAATAATTACACAATGCTGGTGACACACTGACATCACCAAACTATTGCATTCTTCCGTTCTGATGCTTTCCCAGGCTTATAGCTCAGTTGTTGTTTGTTTTGGGAGGTTTCTCCCTTTTCAGAACCTATTCATTTCATTTCAATTAATTTCTCTGTAAATTGGCTGGCAGAATGTTTCTTTAGACTTATAGTCATTATGCTTCTAATAGCATGAGCTGCAACATCAGTAGTATAGATTAATCTTGGTCTCGTCAGTTAAGTAAACTCTGCTCCAGAACGTTCTAATTTCTGAACTGTTGTTTTTAGTTTTGACTTCACAGCTGTCACAATGCTTCTGCTGTTGTTTTCCCTGGCCGACCTGTTTGACATCTTGTTAGTAGTACACCAGTGGTTGGTTAATTTTTTAGGGCTTTCCAAATTGTTGTCCTGTCTATGCCTAATTCTTATGCAGCAGCTCTGGTTCATCTTCCCTCCTTTTTGAACTTCAAAATGTCTTGCTTTTCACCATAGATGGCTGTCTGTGTTCAACAAATGCAGTCTTCACAGATGAAGCCAAGGGCTTAAATTGAAAAACCACATCTAGTTATAAATACCCATAGAAATAAATGCTGAATTTTGAACAGTAATCTAATATTCATCTTTTGACTTCAAAGCCAAATGTCTTCAGTGTATAGCAAAAACAATAGAATTGGCCTTGCCTTTCCAATACATTTGGAGGGCACTGTATGTCTGAGGGTTTTTACTTTTCTGCCTTGATTTTAAAGGCTAGTGTCCTCAGTTTTGTTTTAAGGCCTCTATGAATATGGTGTGATGTCATTTAGCACAAGGAGTGCATTAGAATCTACAGTATACTGGTATTTACCCAGGATCAAACCAGAAACTCTCTGGCTCCACATTCATTAGTGGAGACTAAACCACTGAACCCCTGCATCAATACATTTAACATGAATTTGGAATGAAAGTGAAAGATATGAATAATGAAATTTCTTACTGAAATGTCCAGTGTGTGCTGTTTTGCCTGATGTGCTCCTGTAAGATGTTGCTATTGGTTCTGTTAATGCTGGTGTTGGTGGTTCTGCTGAAATGGTACTGTAAGATGCTGTTGTTGGTGGTTCTGCTGAAGTGGTACTGTATGACGCTGTTGTTGGTGCTGTTGATGTGCTCCTGTAGGATGCTGATGTTGGTTTTATAGTTTGTAGCAGGTGATGTTATATACAATATAAAATGAAAAACACATTTCATTAAAACTGTAAACCTCTTTGATATTTGATTGTAGTGAAAATGCATCTCTCTCATTAGTTAAGACTAAAGCATGAACTCAGACTGTCATTTTAAATTATTTTAAACTGTACTTTACAAATGCAGAAAACCTGACAGTTGTACACAACTATAACTTGAAGTAGAATAACTGACCTGAGATCAGGCAGAGAGTGAAGATGAGGAGGATCTTCATCCTGAACTGAACTTCAGCTTCACTGATGTTCACATAAACTCCAGGCTGCTATCTTTACAGTTCTATATGTTTGCTTTTGTTCTCCTCAGAGATGAACTCTACTTTTCTTTGTAATGTGTAGTCCTCCCTGTGTGTCTCCGTCTCCTTTTCTCTCTGGTTTAGTTGGTTCCTCCTCTTTTTTGAGAGTCAGAGTTACTCAGTCTCATGACTCCTCCCAGCAGCATCACTGATCACATACAGCATGGACATAGGACTTAGCAGTACATTTAACACTATTAACACCAATAACTCTCTTTTAGTGTTATTATATTATTGCTGTATTAGCCATTTTATCCCATACTGTCAGTAACACTGCTTTTTACAGTCCTTTAAAGTTCTAGATATTAACCAGGGAAGAGTGAGGTATAAACTGCTACGTACTAGATCAGTCTATTCAGACAGTCCTAACTAAAATGCAACAGAATGTATAAGAGGTTTATTGATATTAAACTGACAAGACATTCTAAAATGTCATCTTTGGATAATTATTTGGAGTAATAAGGTGGTAAGCACTAACAAACCTGCACTATATTTCATAATAATGTCACAAATTTAAGTGGGAAAGTAAACTGGTAAGGACCTATATAAGATGTTAAAAGATGTTGATCCAAATGTAAAAGTTTATTAAAAAGACAGCAAATGCTGACCTCAGGCTCAGCGCTGATGCACAAAATCCTTCTATTTTGGTTTTATTAGATCTTAGTGCAGCTTTTGATATCGTTGACCACAAGATTTTAATCCAGCATCTTGAATGCTGGGTTGGCCTCTTGGGGCACAGTTTTATAATGGTTTAAATCATAATTAATTAATAGGCAGTTCATGGTTTCACTTGGAAATCATTCATCAAAAAGATTTGCCATTTCTTGCGGAGTCCCTCAAGGTTCAGTCTTAGGGCCTCTGCTCTTCTCTTTGGACATGCTACCTCTAGTTGTCATTAGGAAGTATAGTATAAATTTTCATAGCTATACTGACTGACTAGCTGTGTGTCAGATATTTCTTAGAGGATGTCGCAAAATTTTCTACAATTAAATCATGAAAAAACTGAAATATTGATCGTTGGTACAGAAACTCAGAGAAAAATGATTGATTTATGAGAAACTTGGTTCTTTAGCTTCATCTACCAAACCTGAAGTACGAAACCTGGGTGTGATCTTAGACTCTGAGCTCTGTTTTATCTGCATGTAAACACAGTCACTAAAGTAGCTTTGTATCATTTGAGAAATGTCACTAGTTCACAAGTTCAGCCTTCTCTATCTCAGAGTGACACAGAGAAACTTGTTCATGCTCTTCTTACTGGACTTCCTGAGAAAACTATACATACTTTACAACTCATACAAAATGCAGTAGCGCGCTTCCTAACAAAAACAAAAAAGAGAGATCACATCACTCCCATTTTGAAAGAACTGCACTGGCTGCCTGTATCATTCAGGATAGATTTTAAAGTTCTGCTACTAGTTTTTAAAGCTCAAAATAACCTAAAGCACCGCTTACATCACAGAGTGTCTGTCTGTTTATGTTCCAGCACGTAATCTTAGATCTGCAGATACTGACCTTTTACCCTCTGTAAAATACAGAAAACATGGAGAGGCTCTTTCAGTTATTCGGGTTTTAAACTGTGGAGCCCAGTTCACCTTTTATTAGACAGTCAAGCTCAGTGCTCACTTTTAAGAAGCATCTAAAAACAAATCTCTTTAACTTAGCATTTAATTAAAACTACGTCTCATGGACTTTTTCTTCTAATTTGAACTTTTTCATTTTCTTCTGATTCTAAATAAATACTAATGATTTCTTGTATAACTATGTTTTATCACCTATCTGTAAAGAACTTTGAGTTGCCTTGGCATGAAAAGTGCTATATAAATAAAAATTATTATTATTATTGTAATTATTAAACCTGGATAAATAGGAAAAGTTTAAACCCTTTAGAAACCTAGACTTAAAGGCTTATTATTCGGTAACTACATGGACTATGATGCAAACTGGCTGAATTATTCAGTACTTTTTTGGAAGTATATAGTGAAAGTTTGGACCTGCTGGTGGGACATGGACATTTAACCCCTTAAAATCCCAGGCTTATTACACACTAAGGTTTATTATTCAGTAACTTCAATGACTACAATGCAAACTGGGTGAGCTATTCTTCGGGCCTGATGGGTGGGTCCTAGACATTTAACGAGTTACATCTAGATTTGAAAAACTTGACACTATCTGAGCCTCTTAAGGGTACTTCATAACCTTGGGGCAGCACAGTAACAACCTGTACATTGTGTGACACAGTCATGGTTAAGGTTTCTCATGTCATACTCGGTGCTTGAGCAATTCTCTTAAGGTTAGACAAAGGGGCAGAATGCATTGAGCAATACTATTTTTGCAATGTTTCCTGTAGTCTACATTTCTAATAAACACTGTGTTACCTTCACTTCACTGTTGTACTGGTTCTTATGATCATCTCATTATTGCACTGTTTCTATAATATTCAACATGAATTAATTACTAACCTTGTATGAGCATGACATGGGTTATCTCCATACACAAATCAGTTTACATCACACTGAGGGTAGGCATATACAGTTAAAATTACAACATATAATTACACATTTTGACATCAGTACAATGCTCTGAAAGCATGTCTATCTCTATTTAGGTGGGTATTATTACATTCCAAGAAACCACAGCGCAGCAGGAAACTTCTGGCTGCTGCTGGCTCTGCAGATGGATGCATCACCTCAGACCTGAGAGGGTTCTGTGAAAGCAGACCATTTCAATTCATGCCTGTTTTTCAGCTGCGCAATGTTTAAAATCTGATGAAACTAGTGAATACAGCACATTGGTATGTATTTTACCTTTAAGCCAATGTTTCCATTGAGTACAGGCTTGTTATATTGTAAAAATCTAGGCCAAACCAAGGTAAACAATGTCAGACATACTGTGTATTTTTAGGGAGCTGTGTTTTATTTTAGTTATCATACATTCCATTCTGTGAAAACAAGTGTTAAAAAAGTATATGTAAAATTTTGCCAATAATTATAATAATCGTAGGAATGGACATGATCTCAACAAATTGTGAATAAAGGCTGTAGATCCTTTCTTATCTGCACTCACTATCAGCTTTTCTTCTCAAGAGAATTCTTTGAGTTAATTCTGACCAAACCTCTTTTTTGCAGTCGTGCTGATTTTTCCAGGTTATCTGCTGAGGTAATGGTCATGAATGGCCACGTGTTAATAACCTGGGTCAAATAACATCAAATTACATCCAGTCTTTTAGAATCAAAGCCCATAAACACAAATTCCATAAGAAAACAGTGAAATAAGGATGAAAATCTTTTTTGTCGTCATCCTCTCTCAGCTTCTACAACGTGGTGGTGGAGGATCTTCATTTACTGATCCGAGACCAGGTGCAGTTTCTGTTATAAAGATCATTCAGGAAGCGTAAGCAGGACCTGGATCCTGGATGAACGGATCAGCCTAGAAAACTGTATACACACACACACACACACACACACACACACACACACACACACACACAGTTAGTAGAAACTCAAGACATTGTGTGTGTAAATTTGAAGTGTATATGTACTGAAAGTATATTAAATTGCTTTGCCTCAATGTATTTTCCCATTGTTTTACATCTAATTTGTGAGTTCAGACCGTACCTTGAACATGGTGGTGGTAGTATGGGGGAGACTGATTGAGGGAGGGGGGGAACTCTGAGAACTTGGGCTGGAGTTCTGGGCTAGAAGGCCAGGCCCCCTCATAGCTCTAGCAGGACAAATGTAGGACTGAGGAACAGGGAGGAGACGGGATGGTGGTGGGGTTTGCAAACACTTCATTATGGGAACGGAAGGTGAGGATGTGAATTTCTAGGGTGTTAGATTGGAAGAAGGAGGGGTTTCAGCCACAAACTTCAGTTATAACATAAATACATGTGATCCTTGGATTGTGTTCTTCATATGTCAAATGAATGCAGTGCCAGTTTTGAGACCTCACAATATTAATCATCTAGAGTAGATTAAATGACAGAAATGACCACTCCTTGCAGTGACCTTTAAAGGTCAGTGTTATCTGTGTTTGCTGTGGTGTGTAGTCAGCGATGGTGCAGGGAGGAGCTGTGAGGTTGATCAACTGACACTTATCAGAGAAAGAGGAACCAAGCAAAGCAGAGAGGAGATGGACACAGATAAGCACACACAGAGAGGACCACGAGTTACAAGGAAAAACAGTGGCACAGAGTTCACTCTGCTTTAAAAAAAAAGAAAAATAAAAAAAGTTTAAATGTAGCTGAAACACAGTTCTGCCTCATACAATACCTAATCTCAGATAAATGATTCTGCTGTGAATTAAAGATGTGTGTGAATTTTATATATTAAAATTAATTTTATAAATTAAAATTGTATTAAACTTACACAACTCCATAGAATTCAGGTTTTGCTTATTTACAAGTGATTTGTTTCTACACCACATTTTTTCTGTACAAGTAAGTGAGAATCTGGAGGAAGTTTAAGAGATCAGAAGGATGAGGGAGACCTTTCTTTGATTGGCAGGCCCTGTGAGCTGCTTTGATGTGATTGGCTACTCAGGAGGAAGTGCCACAATACACTGCAGTCACAAACAGTTTAAAAGATATTTTGTTAGAAAGCATTAAAGGGGAATATGTCTGCTGATTTGGGGTTCAGCATCTTCTACAAAATGAGACACAAACATTCACACAAGCAAAACATGCACAGATTAATTATGTAGATGCTCTCAGTCTTTGAAATCTAAGGCCCAGTCCCATTTCACTACCTCGCCCCTACCACTTAGCCCTTAGCCCTCTGTTTTGCAAGTTCACATGTAGAGGTAGGGTGTCCCAATTCTTGTTGAGATAGAGGGGTAGGGCGAAGTGTCAAGGCCATTTTTCTCCAATTTTTTACCCCTATTTCGTCGTGTCCAGTTCCTCCCACTAACTAGGTCTCCCCTAATCGCGTGATCCTACCAGAACTAGAAAGGTGAAGGCTAGCTCATGCTTCCTCTGAGTCACCTGAAGCCAGCCACCATATCTTTTGAACTGTCACTAATGCAACATTATAGGACAGCTCAACATGCTTGGAGGAGAATGCTAACTGCCAGTTCCATTACATCAGCTAACAGATGCCCAAGTCACCTAGAATCACGCTAAGTGATGGGGGAGAGGGACGCCCATAAGAGAGAGTGAGGACAATTATGCTCTCTTGGGCTCCCGGACACAGATGGCTGTGGCATCAACGGGGCTTAAACTCTCAATCTCTCGATGATGGATGGTTATATCACTCGGGAGCCCCCAGGCTAGGTCCACATTTGTTGTCAAGAAGCAGCTTGACTGTAATTTTGTTCAGATTACATTTACTGTCTTTACAATGTCTACAAAACACCACAGTAAACTATGCTTAGCAAGGTTCAAGTTTTCTTTAAAGACACAGCCAGCACAAGAGATCTGCTTCTGAGCTGTCCTTCATTCTCTGTAATTCTGTTTTGTTTTTTGTTACAGGTGATGTAAACAAAAGTTCAACAACCAAATACATTTTCTTTTTCAATCTCAAGTTATATACTTGTGTCATATAATTTTTTGCTTCAGGGATGGTTATGAGCCCAGAGAATATCACCTGCAAGGAAAGAAGGCCATGTGCCCTAAGATGTACAGCGAAGGGTAGGATAGTAAAATAAGATGAATAATTTTCTGAATAAACCTTGGAAATCCACCAATTTGCTTGCTGTACACTTGAGCAGGAACCCTAAATATTGGTTAGAAATTATTTCACAGGTATTCTTCCAGCCCGTAAGTGGGTGTGGCACAGTGGTTATTTCTTAGGTTATTTTCTTAGGTCAATTAAGAAGGAAAAATTAGGTGGTTTAGAGTGGCTTAGCTGGTCAAGATAACCTACAAAAAGCTGATAAACACTGCACTGTTAAAAAAGAAATTGTTTCTTTCTTTTTTAGAAATTGTTTTAATGATCACTGACACAAAAGTATTTAAAGAAACTTGATTTCTAATTAAATATATTACATGACCACAATGTTGTCATTCATTTTACTTGGCAAAAATTGCTGATGCTATAAATGCCTAAAGCAAGGACACTGTCAGAGTCTGTGTGTACAGTACCTGAAGTGAACTAAAGGAAAAACTGAATAAGATAATTTAGATCACAGCAATGATTTTGAGGACTTTGAAAACTTGGGATGAAAATATTAAAACTGACACAAGAACACCTTGTGGAGACAAAAAAAGTACATTATATTAAAATAAAGAGCATGGACTTAAGGGTCATGCATCTACTTAGAGAGAGTTTATTTTTGAAAACAATTTAAAAAATGACAGAGAAATTCAAGTATAAGGTTCTTGAAAGTAAGAACATTAGATCATAAAATATTTAAAGATCAGTCTGTGCATTTAACAGCAATAAAGAAATCATGTACAGCTGAATTAACTAGACATTTTTAATCAGACACTGACAGAAACAGTATTTAAGATTTTTGATTTTATCCCAGAGAAATTTGGTATTCTGCTCAATAACGTTTTCTATTTAGGACTGGAGTTAATATACTTAAAAATCAGATGCTGAATGTTAGTTCAGCACTGATTAAAGTTATTCCAGTCCTGCGTGATGTTTAACAGTGGCGTATTCAGTAGAAGGTTCCGCCTTACTGTTGGTCTCTGGCGTATCACTGGGAGAATCCGGGTTCTTCTGGAAAATCACAATGGCGTAAGTGAGACCTTCATCTTTGGGTGGTTGGTTGATGGAGTAGGTATCTTTATTAGAACTATTTGCATCAACTCCAGGGTCTGAGGCAGAAACATGTCTGGTGTGTTCAATCTCCACTGGGGTCACCTGAGAGTGGACAACAATGAGAAGGCCTGTAAGCCAAACATGCACGTTTTAGTGTATCAACCACCACACAAACATAACAACTAACCTCTTTATTGTCTTTGAGCTCCATCTTGGAAGAAGGAGTGGAGCCTGCAATTAAACAGGAAAAATAGCATGCAAAGCAATAAACACTATGAAGTGAACAATCTGCAATTGCTATTCCTTTTACTAAGGATGTAGTTAAACATACAGACTGTGCAGAGGGTCACCTATTAGATGCAAACTTGCAGAGTAGAAAAAGCACAGCAAGATAGGAGCCACCAACAAGCTTGGGACAAAGGAGAAATCTTGGAAACAAAAACACCTTTTACAGTTGCTTCAAAGCTCATTTTGCACTGGGTCTTCTCACAGAAGTACAGCTAATTTGTAGAGTTATAGAGTTGTTAGTTTCTTTATAGCACATGCTAAAGGCTCATGCATCAGTCTTGTTAAAGGAAGTTCTCTAACAACCTCTGAAACAACACTATAGGTTATGTCTTGTCTTTAAACTGACAGAAGAATCAAAACCTGCCACTGCGAGTTGCTCAAACTTTAGGAAAAGTAGTGGAATATCTGCACCCATTTTCTATAAAATCCTCCCACAAATGCATATGAATGAGTGTGAGATGTGCCTTTTGTGCTCTTTTATTGTTACGTCCCAGACCTAATATTTTTCTGAATGTGAAATGTTTGACCTTCCCTCTGTTGTTGCATGTCACAATGTTGCCCCCTTCTGTCTTGTGTCCGTCTCTCTCTCTCTCTCTCTCTCTCTCTCTCTCTCTCTCTCTAGGTTGAGTTCAAGCTGTCACCTGACTTGCTGCATGTCACGACTGGCGGTGATGTAATAGCTCCATGACTATAAAGTGCCTGCGCCGAGACGTGATACCACCAAGATAGCGGCCGAGAGTGACTTTCCAGCGGTGGCTCAGAGGCTTATTGGACTGGCTGTTTGGGTGACACTACATTTCAGCTATTATGCAACCTGGACCGGCCGATGTAGTGACGCTGCATCATGGCTACGAGGCTCTCTGGACTGGGGACCTGTTCGACTGACATCACAGCCTGGGCTGGCTGCTTGATTGATGATGATGCACTGCAGCTGTGGGGCTGCCTGGACTGATAGTGTTCGGCTACACCGCAGCTATGAGGCCTCTTGGGTCGGCCGCTTGGGTGACGCTGCATTGCAGCTATGAGGCTGCCTGGACTGGTGGTGTTCGGCTGCAGGAAAATGCTACCCCTTCATAGCTAAAGACATCTCCGGCCTTCAAGGCTGCCCAGGCTGGCCTCCTGTGTGATGAACCGTAGTTGCAGTGTGAGACTTTCCCCACTGCTAAGGACTCTTCCTTGGCTAGCTAAGTGACTCTATATTGTGGTCAGTGAAATTCCCTAAGCTAGCTGTGGAAACTGTGGAGTGTGTGTGTTCTGTTACATGTATTGTTGATTATGTATTGATTGTAAAGCGTCCTTGAGCATGGTAAAGGTGCTATATAAATAAAAGTGATGATGATGATGATGATACTGCACACAGGGTTTTCCCCTCGTGGGCCATGGTAGATTTTGGGGTTTACCACTTGCAATCCATAGTTTCAGAACTGTTCTCTATGTCAGATATGGATTTGTTTCTGATGCCTTGTGCTTTTGTACACAGCTTGGGGATGTTCTCCTATAACTGTACTTTAACTATGTCTCTAGCTAAAGCTGACTATACTCTGTAAGTAGTTTTCTAACTTGTCACATCAGCAGGGCTGAGTGGACTTTTATTTTTATGCTTCCTCTTTTCTCCTGTTTATCTATTAGGGAGTTAGGCTTAGTTCTGTATTTTCCTTTGTTTTGTTAGACTAAGTTAGCTGCTTATTAGGAGATTTGTTTTGTTCCTTATTTTGGCCATTAGCTTATCCTGAATATATTACTAGTGACTCTAATGAGTTTGTTTCTAAGTTTTTTCTCTGTATAACCCCTTTACTGCCATGCTTAAATACAGAGATACGTTTTATCAGAACTTTTCCGTATCCGTCTGATCATTTTTGTTACATTCCCTTCAGACCCCTAGAGTATTATGGTGTTGGTAACATTTAGATAAGGGACGTAACATTGTACATGATCCAAAAACTACGCATTGGGGCTCTTTTGTATATTGCATGCAGATAATGCATCTGACTTCTGCCTGAAATTTGCATAAAGGGCTCATAACATCAGGCCATCAGTGTCTCCCAATTGACCAGTGCTCAGCAATAAGCTCTTAAATCTTCAAGTGTGTGTCAGAGTCTCTGTGTACAGTACCTCGTCTTTTCTTATGTATCACAGTATAAATGATCAGTGCTGATCCTCCAATCAGCAGCAGAGCCACACAGGTATACACTTTGGTGAAGGCTGAGGAATCTGGAGCAAGATAGAAAAAACAAACAAACCATTTTCATACAAGACCATGAACATTTTTTTGCAGTTATTAATCATTATCAGGGCCACTTTTCAGTCTATCAGATGATGCTGTTTTGGATTTGATAGTTGCGCTGTAAATGGTTCAATTGCACAAAATGCGTGGAAGAACATGGAAGATGTTCAGACTGCCAGCCCGTATACCATTTTTGTCATATACAGGTTGTATCCAGATTGATTTTTGATACTCTGAACTGAACACATTAATTCCAATTTTTGCATGTCGGATCCAAACCACATTTAGAGGTGGTTTGAAATGTGATTCCAATCGGATTTTTACAGATGCGTCTCGGTCTGGACACTCTGGCTGCTCAAGTTGGATTTCAAAGTGTCTTTTGCATCTTTTGCAATGTGGCAAACAATGACAATGTCAAATGCCAAAGAGAGCCAATGATTCATGCTTATGTCATTACCATAGCAACCCATGCAGATAAGTTGGTGTTGTCTGGACACAGAAATCACATCTGATCACATGACAGTCTGGACTGTTGTCTATAAAGGTCTGAAATGAAAAACAAATCCGATTCGCCTGCAGTCTAAACATAGCCTTTGTAACATTGGCTGTGCTTCTGTCCCCTTCCCCGAGTGGATGAATCTGATGATTGCGAATGTGTTGAAAGTGAATTCAAATTCTAGGTGATGGATGCATCTTCTGAAGATGTGAGTGAATGATCTACTGTTGTCATCACATCTTCGTCAGCATTGTGTTGTTTTTGCATCTGAAACCTAAAAATCGAGCTGGACCTTCTTTTTGAGCCTACAAATGTGAGGATAAAATTGGAAATGCTGCATGACGTGGTCTGAAAACCCCCGCAAAACTCAACCCAGGGTTGCTCAGCACACGGACACCATATATACCATGTTTGTTGGTCAATTGGAACTGACTTTTTTGGTTAAATCTAATCCAAGATCCAAGATCGAATTAAATTTGTAAGTCTTAGCTTTTTTTTTAACAAAGAATTTTATATAACCACCATAAGGGGAGGGTGTTCATATCTATTACCTTGCCACACTAGTGAATAGTGTGCTCTTTTTATTTACAAATCAAATTAGTTTAAGAGTATTTCTTATTCATATTTATTAACTAGAATGTCATCAGTCACAAACATTGTCAAACCAAGACTGAGAATGTAATGCTATAAAACAATTAATACAATGGCTAATTGGTCTCACCAGTAACCTGCAGCTGAATCTCAGTGAAGAATGTTTTATAATTCTCATCTCCATTCCCCGCTCCACAGAAATAAACTCCTCCATCATCTTCTCTCACATCACTGATGCTCATACTGAGAACTTTAGATCTTCTGTTATCAGAGATGGAGAATCTGCCTCTCCGAGTATCTGTGGTTTGGTTCACTTCAGTAAAAATTTGACCATCCAGTTTCTCAAAGAATTTGATGCTTTCCTCAGACTCCTCTGGATCTTCCTTAAACTCCTCTGGATATGAGCAGCTGATGGCAACAGTCTTCCCAAGATGGCCAGTCACAATCATTTTCCCAGTACAACAAGGATCTGCCAACAGTAGAAAACAAAATTCATTTGTTCAATCATTTTGGGTTGAATATCTCCAGCCCATCACAGCACTTCTACATCCAACCATAACCAAATGATTTATAGACATGTTTATGCCAAATATCATCTATAGGAGTCTTTTTTTCACCTGTTTTCACTTTCAGGTTCACTGTCTCATTCCACTCTTCAGTCTGTCCACAGCGATATGATCCAGCATCCTGTAAACTCAGCTCTCGAAAGATTACCATAAGCCTTCCAGCAGATTCATGCAGAGAAACTCTATCTTTATGATCCCATGTGTTTTGTTTTTGATCAGATTCCAAATACACACACTGCTGTTCTGGGTCTTTACAAAAGTATCTATGTAATCCATACTTTTGGTGTCTGCAGTATATCACAACACTACTTCCTGAGTAGCCAGTCACATCAGTGCAGCCTACTGGACCTGCCAATCAAATTCAAAGTTCTCACTCTCATTAAAATACCTCCAAGCGTTACATTCAACAGCAATACATCAAAATACCTGCAGCACAGAATATGGTATGTTATTTATGTTCGAAGTAGAATAACTGACCTGAGATCAGGTAGAGGGTGAAGATTACGATGACCTTCATCTTCACTTTTCAAATTTGGCTTGACTGAGACTCAAACAAACCCCAATTTTTAAGCTCCTGCAGGTTTGCGTAGAATTTTGCTCTTCTTTGTAAAGCGTGTGTGCTGATCTGATCCGGTCCTCTTCTCTCTGGTTTGGTTGGTTCCCTTTTCTCTGGTAAGTGTCAGAGTTACTCAAACTCCTCCCAGCAGCATCACTGACCACAGACCAAATTAAACACAGAGAGACCATTTTTGTGCTGTGATATTTGTACACGGTAACATGGAAAAAGGATCAGTGATAACCAGAACATTTAATCAGCAATCATATATTTTCTACATGTTTTGTTGTTCACTTCTGTCATTTTCAGTAAAATTTAGAAAAGCTTGCTCTGAGTCGGGTCCTCCTCTCCTTTCATCTGCCACTTTATAATAATATCTGATGACTCAGATGGAGCTGAAGTGTGATTATCATGTTACACTCACGCTGGTGCTTTTTTATAGAGGTGGTTTCAAACTCATGAGTGGAAACTATCAGCTATGTAATTCTATAAGTATACCAATCAGGCATAACATTATGAGCACCTCCTTGTTTCTACTCTCATTGTCCATTTTATCAGCTCCACTTACTATATAGGTGCACTTTGTAGTTCTACAGTTACAGACTGTAGTCCATCTGTTTCTCTGATACTTTGTTAGCCCCCTTTTACCCTGTTCTTCAGTGGTCAGGACCCCCATGGACCCTCACAGAGCAGGTACTATTTGGGTGGTGGATCATTCTCAGCACTGCAGTAACACTGATGTGGTGGTGGTGATGTGTTAATGTGTGTTGTGCTGGTCTGAGTGGATCAGACACAGCAGTGCTGCTGGAGTTTTTAAACACCTCAGTGTCGCTGCTGGACTGAGAATAGTCCACCATCCAAAAATATCCAGCGAGATTTGTTTTTATGCACATCACTGTCTTTGTGTGACAGCTAGAGATATCCAGCTTCCTGATCTAACAGAAACGTTATGACCATATGAATAAGGGATGGTCAGATGTCACTGGAGAAGATGATTAATGTGCTTCGACAAACAAATCACAGCATACGTTCAAATGTGTGCATAATTTCCAAGCAAACACAATTTTAGATCTACACAATTTTGTCATTCAGTTTACTGGGCAATAATTGTGCTGATGTTCTAATGGCCTAATGGAAGTAAACTGATCACGGCATGACCTACAGCCATCATGGCCACTCAGGACTACGTTTCCCAGAACGCCTCGCTGCAGCACATGATACAGGATTCTCAGAAATACACCTATCCCCGTTCCAGTTCGCCTGCCTTCTATTTACACACACTATTCCTCATTTTATGTATGTTAGTTTAGTATATAAGCCCGGGCTTTAGTCTAGTTTGTTTGCGAAGTATTGTCACTCCAATGTGCGTACTGAGTTTTTCCACTGCCTTTCTGCTACTCTGTGTATGACCTGTTTTTTGTTTATGACTACGATTCAAGTGTTGCCCTTTTGTCCTGTTCTGATTCTCTGGCTTTCGACCTTACACGTTCCTCCTTACTGTAAGTGACTGGTGTATTACTGGCAGAATCTGGATTCTTCTGGAAAATCACAGTGGCGTAAGTGAGACTTTCATCTTTAGGTGGGTGGTTGGTGGAGTAGGTGTCTTTATCAGAGTCTGAGGCAGAAACACAGCTGGGGGAATTTTTTTCACTTTCAAGTTCACAGTATAATTCTACACTCCAGTCTGTCTACACTGATATGATCCAACATCCTGTAAACTAAAAAATGTTGTCTGAACATTATCATAAGACATCCAGCAGATTCATGCGAATAAACTTTCTCTTTATGACCCCATGTGTTCTGTATCTAATGAGATTCCAAATACACACAATGCTGTTCTGGGTCCTCAGAAAAGTATCTATTATGTCCTTTACACTCTTGGTAACTACTGTATATCAATACACTGTCTCCTGAGTAGCCAGTCACATCAAGCTGTCACACTTCAACAGAATTGCATCAAAATACCTGCAGTGCAGAAACAAATTGCTTCACAAATATGTAAAACTTATGTTACTTAAGTTTGAAGTAGTATAACTGACCTGAGATCAGGTAGAGGGTGACGATTAGGAGGGTGTTCAATTTTGCTTCAGCGACTCATGGAGGAAACATATTGGACCTTGTTTAAACTAATGTCAACAGCCCCCTAAAATGCTGAGCCCGGCCCCCCACCTCAGATGCTCAGACCACATCTGTCAAAATTACACCATACAAACCTCTGCTTAACCTCTTCAACTCCTTGAGACCACCGGTGGTTCCAAAACGCACTTTCATTTTTTATTCTTCATAACTTTCATATTTCATAAGCTACGTTCTAAAGGTGGGGGTCGTATGAGAGCTGCAACTGTCTTCTTTCCAGTCAAATAGATGGGTGATGTAATTTTAAACCCTTATAATAAAAGAAGCTGAACTCACCATGTCTACTTAAAGTCGACCCATTTTTCCACAAATCTGGGCTATAAACTATAAACAGATGACGTCTCTTCAGTGATCTGCTCTGTAAAAATAGAGCATCTAAGATTTCTGGCTTTCAGCAGTAAATTGTAAGCATATAGCAATGCAGTTCATGCAGTTACTGAATAATTTGCCTTACGATTTGGTCATTTAAATTCAGATGGAAAAACTAAAATATACCCTGGAGAATACCGTGCCAAGCCAGTTCTGAAACAGGTGAGAACCTGGTTTAAGGGAGCCATCTCAGCACTTAAGGAACTGGCTACATTAGCAAGTGTGTAGTGTTATGATGCTGGGGGTGTATGGTGTTTTGTTTTATGCTCTTTTTTTTCTTGTAATCACTTTGCTCCTTGGGTTGGTGTCTGGAGGGCTCTGATTGGGTACAGCAGGGGGTGCTCCAGTTACTTATGGGCCGATGAGGCACTACAAAAGGAGAGGGGCTGTTCCATTGGTCGCACCTGTGCCATCAACCTCCACCTGACTAGACCAAGCACCCACAGCTTTAGCTTGTGAACTCATGTGTTACTGTGTGGGTTTGCCTTTGTAAAGCTCTCTCTTTGTCAGTAAGGGGATGAGTGCACTATGTTTTGTATGTTGTTTTCTCCTGGTTTGGGACAGGGAGGTAGCCTTAACATTGTTATTTTGCTTTAAGTTACATGAGTTTAGTTATCCGTTGGTTTCTAGTTTGTTTTTGACATTATCTCACCCCCTCAAGTTTTTTTCTCTTCAATAAGCTCACCTGCACTTGACCAGTTTAAAGCTGGACTTACCAGCTTTTACAAGATGGTGCCTTTAACCTGAATCATCAATTATTAGTAGTTGGTGGTGTCTTGGTCTGGCACTTGGATGGCGTTGGCTCATTTTTTTTTATCATATACGGCCTTAAATTTTCCCCTAGACATTGGAGGTCGTAACAATAGAGGATGTGATTTCTTTCAAGACCATCACCAAAGCAAAGCGCACCTATGCACAGGGAATCCACAGACACTTTCTAGACACCAGAGACACAGCATATGTGGCAGGGCACTTACCATCGCTGACTACAAAGGTAACATCACATGCCTGTGATGGTGATGTCTCACTCCCAGACTCACTGAATGATTTCTATGCAGATTGAAGCACAGAGCACAACCAGCCAGCAAAGAAGACCACCCCTCCTCCCACCAACCAAGTATTTATTTTATGCACAGTATACATTAGGACTGTCCTTTCCAGAGTTATCCCTCAGAAGGCTGCTGGCCCTGACAACACACCTCGCCTGGTCCTAACCAAGATCTTCAAAATTTAAGCCAGACCCAGTTGTCCCACCATAATCCCTGTGGCAAAAACAATCTACTTTGTCCTGCCTTGATGACTGGATGCATTTCACACTGGATGCATTGCAGTTCATGTACCGCCCTAACTGCTCTACAGAGGACACATCCTCTGCCGTTCACCTCTCACCAACCCACCTGGACAGAAAAGGCAATTATGTGAGAATATTTTTCATAGACTGCAGAATTCAACACAATCATACCACAGCAAAGCTGAGCTAACAATCTATATGTTCATTTTGATAAGATCACTACATTCTAAAGAGGGCAGTAGAGAGCATCCTGGCCAGCTCTCTCATTGTCTGGTATGGGAACTGCACCATCCTGGATTGCAGGTCTCTGCTGAGGATTGTAAGGACAGCTAAAGAGATCATCGGGGTGTCTTTACCCACTATCAGCACCTCTTACCACAACCGCTGCCTCCACACTGTGGATGACCCCTGCCACCCCTCTCACAGATTCTTCACCCTTCTGCCATCTGGTAGAGGGTACCAGAATATCTGTTCCAACATATAGCTGGACTAATCAAGACCCTTTTCCAGCATCCACCATAGACTGATCACACACCCCTTAACCACCATGTGGTTAGCGCTAGTACTTTAATTTCTTTAACTACTTGAATCTGCTATGTAACCTCAATCTTTCTGTACAGTTTACAGTCAACAGTGTTTGCACTAGTTCCTTCATCACTCATATGCTGCTTGATGCCAACCCATGTGTATATATATGTATGATTATTTACATTTTACACTTATGGCATTTGGCAGACACTCTTATCCAGAGCGGCTTACAATTTGATCATTTCACACAGGTAGGTGAAGGTAGTGTTAGGAGTCTTGCCCAAGTACTCTTATTGGTATAGTGTAGGGTGTTTACCCAGGTGGGGATTGAACCTCAGTCTACAGCATAGAAGGCAGAGGTGTTACACACTACAATATACCAACCACCATTTACATATATATGATGCCAAATTGCACATACTGTTTTGTTGTCCTGTCCACCATTTATTATCTTGTGTATTTACTGTTCTGTATATAAATTGTCTGTGTATTCAATGTATATTCTGCACTCGTTTCGCACTGTTGTGTATCTGCACTCTATGTAGTCCTGTGTTCTGTACTGCTATTGAGTGTTGCACCATGTGGCCTAAAGAACAACATTTCATACCAGTGTATGGTACAAGTTATATTGTGGAATGACAATAAAGGTCACTTGTCTCCTTTATATTTTGCCCTGCCAATCTTCAAGATCAGCCCAGGTACTACAAGCGTACTGACCGCCTGTGGTTCTCCTCTGTAATTTCAAGCATCACCACAGCACTAGAAATGATACCAATAAATCACTTATCGATTAAAAAAAGCATCACATTCCTTGATATGTGTCACGCATCCGCCGAGTACCTCGTTGGATTCAGACTCAATCTCCCAGAGTCCTCTGGGAGATCACCTGACTTCCACGCAGCCAACCAACGAAGATAGACAGCCGGACTCAAACTCCCAGAACTCTCCGGAAGGTCACATGACTCCCCACCTGACCTCAAACTCCTATCCGCATTCGCAATCTCCAGAATACTAATGAATGTCACCTGTGTTTTGATCATATGACTACTATAGTGTAGTATTTAAGCCCAGGCTTTAAAGTAGGTAACTTGCGAAGTATTGCATCCATTTTCGTGATCTACTGAGCGTTTATTCCTGTATCTGATTATCATGTATGACCTTTGCCTTTGTTCTTTGACTTTGTCTTTTTGCCCAGCCCTTTGGATTGTTTGCCTGATTCTGGATTTTGGACTTAGACCCTCTGCTTGTGTTTTTGACCACGTTTTTGCCTTCTCCTGTTTGGACTGTTTGCCTGGTGTTATATTTATTGTTTTGTTTCTCATCTGCTTTCTGGAATTGACCCATGACTGTTTTTTGACCACAAACTTGCACTGCACTTCTACTAGTAAAGCCTCCTTTGTAGTTTATATCTGCAAGCATCTGATTCTGTTTGATTTGTCACAATATTGTTTTTTTGAACAATAAGCAAGTGTAATGTCAGCAATAAGGGATATTAATAACTTGCTACAAGAAGTGTTCATTATTGTATGAAAAAACAGGGATTTATACAAGACTCTGTAGAGTTCTGAAGTGGAGTTGTAACTAACTACTATTTGGTCATAAAGTAGTGAGTAACGTCATGGCTTTGCATGCTGTCAACCGTGGCCTGTAAGCTTGGTGCTGCAGAGATATTAAAATTAATTAATTGATAAATAGAAGAACTGCAAAAAGAAATGTCTTGTGTCTTAAATTCTACTCCAGCTGATGAACAATTATTCACACTTTACATCCACAAACATTAACTCAGCACCACTTTATTACAGTTTCACAAATGGAAATGAAATGAAATGACATGTTATTCTGAATATTTTGAAGAAAAATAAAACTACACAACCACTTCAAAAGATCTCAGTACAATAAACATAGTGGAATAAAATTACCACAATGTTTTCATTTGTGTTTGTACTCGAGAAATTCTTAAATCAAAGAAAATTTAACAATATTCAGATAAAAAAAACCCTGAAATTCTGGTGCATCACACATGGAACACCAAACTAGAGAATACAACAACATATTACTTTCAAACATAACAGTGAAAAAATTATGCCATTTTCAAAACTACTAAACATTTTTCTTACATTGAGATTTCTGATAGTGAGATTGATCTTATTCAACTTCTCTTATGGATCAGTCAAAGAGGAGGTATTTCAGAGACACATTTACATTTTATATTTAATTATTTATTTACATTTAGACAATAAAAAAAGAACATAATACAAGACCTTTTTATAAATCCATAGCTAATCTCAGAGTTATAGCTATATAAATATGTAACATAAATATATGGACTTGTTCTGCGCACCAATAATCAGTAATAATTGAAAAAGTCATTATAAACTTACCTATTTATACCCTTATACTCTGATGTTTCCTGAATGTGGGTGTGAGGAGCAAGTCAATATGAAGAGGAAAATAAAGATTTCATACAGTTCTGAAATTATTCTCCATGATTTTAGTTTAGGCTCTGGTAGAATGAATCTGATTGGCTGATGTTGGGGTTTAAACTCTGGCAGACTGAATTTGATTGCTTGGTTTGGGGGTTTAAATTGTAGTAGAATGAATCTGATTGGTTGGTGTTGGAGTTCAGATTCTAGGTATACTTACAATTAGAATATAACACCCCAAAATAACTAGAAGAACTTCAAAATTAAGTTTTATATTAGCCCATTTGAAATGAAGGATTTAATCAACTTAATGCAGGTCCTCTTCTTTTTGAGTCCATGCTGTGGAAAAAATCTGATTTGATTGAATTGAGGAATAGGTTCTTGCAGACTTAGATTGGTTAGAGTTGGGGTTTAGACTCTGGTAGACTAAATCTGATTATATGGTGCTGGGTTTAGACTCTGGTAGACTGAATCTGATTGGTTGGTGTTGGAGTCTAGACTCTGGTAGACTGGATCTGACTGGCTGGTGTTGGGGTTTAAACTGTAGTAGATTGAATCTGATTGGTTGGTGTTGGAGTCTAGACTCTGGTAGACTGGATCTGACTGGCTGGTGTTGGGGTTTAGATTGTAGTAAACTGAATCTGATTGGTTGATTTTGGGGTCTGGACTATGGTAGACTGAATCTGATTGGTTGGTGTTGGGGTTTAGACTCTGGTAGACTGAATCTGATTGGTTGGTGTTGGGGTCTAGGCTCTGGTAGACTGAATCTGGTTGATTGCTGCTGGGGTTTAGACCCTTTTTTTGGTCCTGGTAGGTACCCATGGTGATAGAATTCTGGTTTCCAGGTGGATCATTTTCATTGTAACTATTAGTCTGATATGAAAAACACACAAAAAAAAAAAAAATACAAATCATCACAGATCATTTAATACATTCTATAATATACATTTATACATATGCATGCATTATTTAATTGTTTTGCTTCATCACCCCCACTTACTGTGTAATTTGTTCTAGATTGATTGATGATAAATGTAGAATCTGCAAAAAGAGATAAAACGTCAGTCATACAAATGTTCTATTAATTTACAGCAGTTCATCAGCACTTGTTCCACAATTTCCTGAAATCTTGAGTAACTAATGTGGTCCGTGTTATAAATGTTTTTGACAGTTCACCTGTTTATTGTTTATCGTGTTCATGAGCTCATTTTAAAATGTCTTTAATAAATTAGGACATTAGGGAAAAATGAATAGTCAGCTAGTAAAGAGATTAGTCATTCCTTGTGAGCTAGCCAGAAATGTATAATAACGTAGCTGACGCTGGACGTCTGGACATTTTTAACACTCCAGCTAGACCAGATAGAAACCTAGAGATTGTGTAACAATTAATCAAATGTTCTCTTGTAGTTAACTTGCTAAATCCATCCATCCATCATCTAAACCGCTTATCCTTCTGGGTCGCGGTGGGGTGCTGTCAGCTGTCATTGGGCAGAAGGCAGGATACACCCTGGACAGGTCACCAGTCCATCGCAGGGCAGACAGACAGACATACACATTCACTCATACCTAGGGGCAATTTAGCATGTCCAATTGGCCTGACTGCATGTTTTTGGACTGTGGGAGGAAACCGGAGTACCCGGAGGAAACCCACACAGACACTGGGGAGAACAGGCAAACTCCACACAGAAATGACCCTGGTCACCCAGCCAGGAATCGAACCCAGGCCATTCTTGCTGTGAGGCGACAGCGCTACCCACAGCGCCACCGTGCCCCCCTTAACTTGCTAAATTAATGTTATAATTTAATTCTAAGAAAAAGCAATACAACAAGCTCTTGACTGAGCTCTTTAACAGAAAAAAATGCCCTGTATTATTATAAATGAAAGAAATAAACTACATTCAGGCATTTATTGGTCGTATAAACATCCAAGCATGTACACACATCGATAGTTATATATTTTGAGGTATATTTCACTGTACAAATGCAAGACAATGATATATAGGATGTGGTTTCAGAAAAAAAAGAAAGAAAGAAAGAAAGAAAGAAAAAAGTGAGGGTTCCTCAGTAAAACCTGGCAATTTCTCCACTGTTTATAGCATCAAAGTCAAATAGTAATATCCAGAGCTAATCTGTATCATTAACATGTGAGTGAGGACATCTACATAAGTACATCTATATAATAATTAATCTGTTTATGTGTGTGTGTGTGTGTGTGTGTGTGTGTGTGTATACCCTGTGTCTTGGTGCATCTCAGTTTGTAGAAGATCAGTGTTGATCCTCCAATGAGCAGCAAAGCCACACAGACACACACAGTGATGATGAGAGAGGAACCTGGAGGTGAAACAAAGAGACAAGGCAGGACAATCAAACACATTTTAGATACCATCATGATCTGTTTAAACATTATTTTATATCATTTGTTTTTTGTACATAGGGCTGCTGGTCAGCCTCTGTTCTATCTGTTCTGCTTCTGTGCAGAAGTAGTTGTGCTATATGCTAATGGAAGGGCATTAGAACCTGAAGCATCTTGGGATCAGAGATATGATCTCTCAGGCTCCTCCATTTTCAAGACATGATTGATTTTGGTACACAGACAAAAGCACAAGCATTGTTTTCCTTCTTTAAATAAATAAATAAAATCAAATTAAATAAAAAAGGTAAAATTCATGCAAGTAAGACACCTTCAAAGGTTTTGTTAACATAAAATCTATCTGGCATTTTAGGTCAAAACTCAGTGCATGTTGTTAATAATTTAGTGCTGATTATTGAAAATACCTAAAACACACATTATTGAGTCTATATAATACATTTATTAATGCTTCCTGCTAAAAAAAAATGCATGCTAATTTTGCATCGTCTATCTGACCGTAAAAGTAGATAAGTGGATCGTTAACCACTTATTTGTACTGTACTTAACTTACTAAAAATAGTTTTCTTGCCTTTCCAATAATATTTTTTACATATCAAATAAAAGCAACAACAGCTTTCGAAAGTCATGCCATTGACAGAAAAGAGTATATGTTGCATAAATAGCCATGCTTAATGGATTAAATTTAATTTACATTTGAAAGTTTTATTTTAAACATGCTCATTTGTGTTAAAATGGAAGTAAAGGGCTCCTGAGTGATGGCCCTGGTGGTAATTGTTCAATCCCTATCAGTGTCACAGCTTCAGTGGCCAAGGTCCAAGAGAGCAAAGGGATGGCACTTCATGCTAGCCTTTACCCTCCCAAATTGGTAGCATCGTGTGATCGACCAGCGGTCACCAACATGCAGCTCTTTTACTGCCCTTTTGCATCTCCACATCTGTACGATTTAAATCTTCTTCTTCTTTGCAGTAAAATAAAGCTCTGCTGATTGTTCTCACACAGTTTCAACAATAAATGGTCTTAAGTGCTGGAGTTAAAAACAGCTAATTTACGCTTTAACCCTGAAGGTTGGTGCGCAGACTGCTGGTCACCGTAGCAACACAGACCACTCCTAGCTAGTAGTAAACTAAAAGGCAAAAAGAAGTATTGGAGACAAATGGACCTATTTGCATTTTAAGCACTCAGCAGAATTCCTGATACATTTATTCAGCAACGAGAAACTGTCAGACATAAAAAGTTGAGAAGCTGCAGTCAGTTTCTCATTCGCCAGCTTCTCGTTCGAACTTCCCCGTTCCACCTTAAATGGTGCAGCAGTTACATTCTGGCGCCTCAGGCTTTATTAAAGGTGGAATGGAAAAATTCGAACAAGAGGCTGGTGAGTGAGAAACTGACTTCAGCCTCATAAATAATCTTTAAGAGACATTTTGCAAGAAACAATGCAACTTTTGAGGAAAAGTCTCCTGCCAGAGATGCAAGAAAAGTGACTATAGCTGAGCTAAAGTTTAAAGCAGAGTAAAGTAAGTCTGTGTTTTCGTTTATATTATATTTTTAGCCTATACTAGTACATCAGCACATACTGAGACATATTTACAGCCAAGATGGTAAAATGGACATAAAATGTTGTGGCTCTCAAGTTGGTTTGATTTTTATTGAAAGGACAAAATGGCTCTTCTTAACATTTGGTTGTCGACCCCTGTGATAGATGGAGATCTTATTAGTAGGTGGGTATTTAAAAATGTTTACGTAAGGGGGACAAATTTGCCCCCAATTTGCAGTTTTTTGTCACACAGTTGTGCAATATGCAGTATGATGAAATGGTGCAGTTGGAAGAATTGTTTGTCTCACTGCTTTACAGCTACTGCAAGCATTTATGATCAGATTGGTATGTAACGGAATATAAGTATCAGGAATGTTGTTGGAAGAAAACATTGTATCTCCAAAATGGTAACTTTACAGTAAAAAAAAAAAAACATACTTTACTCTTTACTTACAATGTAAGTCAATGGAACCAGACCTTTTTGGCCCATTTCTTTTGGTCCATTCATCATGAAATTTACACACAATGTAAAAGGCAACATTTTAAAAAATGTTACACAGTGTGTGAAGATGTACTCTAAAGATGAACTCAAAACCATCTTCTTTACAAAGTTTCTGCTAAAGCCTGAGCAGACTGATAAATCAAAGTGAGAAGCCAGTTATTTATCTTGGCATTACTGAGATTTGTTGAGGGATCATTGTACTGAACAGTTTCCTCACAGTAGTGGACGTGCTCCCAAGTGATTAACTTAGTGTTGTACTGGATACTGAATACATGCTTGTCATAAACTGAAAACCATCGCTATAGTCAGATTTGTAAAATTTTGTTATTGGAAAATGGCAAAACGTTTGCTTAGGATTATGGGACAAGCAGTGCACTGAAGTGAGTGATGAAAGCCAAAATAATGGAGAGGATTTTCTAACTTCGTTTACATTATTGTATTTTTCATGAAGCATATTAACCGAAGAAGTACATGAATAAAACTGCTGACCAGTAAAAGTGAGAAACAGTATGAATATTTAACAGTTTGTTCTGTGTTCAGCCATCATTACTTTTTTCCAAGTCACCTGCCCAATAGAGAATTTGTGTAGCTTATCAACATTTTATTGGAATCTAAAAATTCCTGTCTTTATTCATCTCTCTCTGCTTTCACCAATTATCATCACTTAATTGAGTTATTTTTGTGTTTTTTTTCCTGAAAAATTAATGTATCAAGTACAATCAGGAACATACTATCAGCAAATCATTTAGAGCAAGTGTGAACAATGCTGGACCTGGAGATCGACCACACTGGAGAGTTCAGGTCCAACACACCCGGCTCTAAAGTTCAGTTGTCCTAAACGCCTTCATCGCCTGGTGTATAAGATTAGGGTGGGAACAAAACTCTGCATGGTGGTAGATCATGAGGACCAGGATGGAGCACCCCTAGTTTAGAGCATTTTCAGCCATGCTACAGCAGCTAATGCTGAAGATATTAGCTGCCTAGCAATGTTAATATAGCAATAGCACATAGCAAGACTATAGCAAGTGAAGATTCTTAGCCTGGTAATTAAATGTTTATTCCTAAAAACCTAAAATATCTGATCTTTATCTTATCTATCCTAAAAGTAAACACTCTGAATGTAGGTATGTTGCCAGAGTTTTGCTTAATGTAATTAATCAAGTGTATCTTCTACACAGGAACTTTCCTGTAGTGTAGCGTTAAAGTTACACTTTAAAACAAGTGGACAGTTCCTGTGTAGTTGTTATGTAGGTACTGTGAGATAATGGATGAGTAATATAGATATTGCTTTAGGGGAAATACACATTTAATTAATGTCTTAACAGTTACATGTTAATATAATGGGACATCTGCTGTACTGTCACATTACAGAATGTTTTAAAGCTGAAACTGGTTACAGTCTCACAGCACTAGCAACATAAATGCTGGCTAAATGTTAGGAAAGCTGGCTGATACAGTCTGCCTAATGTCTTAATGTGTGTTATTAGATGCTTCCTTTTACTGCTGGGAAAACTTCAAATAACCCTGTTCCAGTCTGATCACAAATGTAATTACATTTATGTTATTACCCTTGTGTAATTACATGAGAGAGAATAGGCTGTTACAACTATTAAAATACACTTGTGTAATTACATAAGGCAAAACTGAAGTTGATACACGTGTAATTACACAAGGTGTCCTTCTGTAATTAGTAGTTACATTGTTATTGCATATGTTGTTCACATGTAACTACACAGTTATTAGAGACAATATATAGTGGGACCAACATTTGATGCAGGGACAGGTCAGTTTAATCCATGTTTTATCCTACTATATGACTTCATCATTAGACCTTTGTCAATATCCTCCAAAATGTCATGAACAACAAGTAGTGAGGTTGTGAGGTCAGGCTAAATGAGTAACTTCAGAGGCCTAACCATTGTGGATAAATTGTTGTTTTTCTTAAAGTTAATGCTTTTAGTGAGTCCTAATGTAATTAGCATAGATTTAGCTTAGGGTCAATCCATACACCTAACATTAACTTGTTATGTTAGGCACATTTTGCTTCAAGATGGCACGTTTAATTAAAAAAAAAAATAAATTCAGCAGTGAATATTTTGCTGTTTTATATAGGCTAAACAGTTTCAGGTTCTTTTGTATGAGGCTCTTTAAAGCTCTCCTGAAACTTTGGGTAACACTTCCCCAAAAGGCAGCGTTCATAAGGCCAAAATAAAAACTACGGAAGCCTTTTATGATATGACATAAACCTACATAAACATTTACAAAGGATTATCCTAAACATCATCGGTAGTCATGAAGTTGATTTTTTGAGGTGTTGTCATAACACTTTCTGGAGTGAAATGATCTAGCACTTTAGCAGTGCTGTGTACATTTCACAGTTCTTCAGCAGAAGTGTCCATTTGACATGCAATTCTCAAAATACCACAGTTACTCATACTAGATATTTTAATGTTGGCTATTGCATCACTCTCCAGACTTGCCAGATCCTGGAAAATTTCTGACCCAAGTATTTCCTGCACGCTACACCAGCCTTCAACATGGCATCACAGCATGGTAATTATAAGTGGGTTAAAGTACTGAAGTAATGAAAGCTTTTTTAAGAAAATTGAATGTTTGGTACAAGTGACTTTATAGCACCATAAAGGGAAGAAGTGTTTAAGAATACGTTCATTAAGTAGAAGTAAAAACATCAGTCATCCATAGTGCAGTTTCATTATAAAATCACTGATTGACAGGTCAACTTGCATTGAAGCCTTTATAAAAGAATTGATACCACTTAATATATTAATATCAGTTGTAATGAAAGACTTATAGAGGTTGAATTCTGCCTTTCAGTATATTACCAAAATTTGTATCTCTATTCCAGGACCAAGTGGCTAATATATGTTCCTTGCTAATGCTCAGGAAGCATTTATCTGCTATTGTCTCCCTCAACTTTCTATTAGTGGGGTACACTTGCATTTCCAGAGAGCTGCATTGCAACATTGTCTAAAAAAAAATAATACAAATAAAATATTATTGATTTGATGTGAGTTCTTACTGAAATGTTCTTCAGATGTGACTGTGGATGGTGCTGCTGATGTGGTTCTGTAGGTCTCTGCTGTTGGTTTCAGAGTTGAGCCCCATCCTGCTGGCAGTGTTTGTTTTGATTTAGACGACATTCCCTTTGCTTATTAAAATATATAATACATAAAAATAATAAACAGGGTTCAGGGTGCAATGTAAATTTACATTTATGATTTATGATTCACTCATATCAGTGCAACACACAAATAATATCTGCTCTGTGGTGGTCCTGTGGGGGTCCTGACCACTGAAGAACAGGGTAAAACAAAGTATGCAGAGAAATGGATGGACTACAGTCTGTAATTGTAGAAAGTGCTCCTATAGGGTAAGTGGAGCTGATGCAACAGATAATGAGTGTAGAAACAGGAAAGTGTTCTTAATATAGTGACCGGTCAGTGTATAGTCAGTAATATGAGTTGATGTTTCTCACCAGTGACCTGCAGCAGAATCTCTCTGTAGAGGGAATTGTAACTGATTGACTCCCCAACGCTTCCCACTCCACAGAAATAAACTCCTCCATCATCTTCTCTCACATCACTGATGGTCACACTGACAACTTTAGAGCTTCTGTCATCAGAGATTAAGAATCTGTCATTCTGAGACTGTATGGTCCGTATGACTTCAGTAAAATCTTGACCATCAACTTTGTAGAACATCTTGATGTCTGTTTTAAACTCATTTGCATATGAACAGCTGATGGTGACAGTCTCTCCCAGATAACCAGACACAGTCTTTGACCCCAAATAGCATGGATCTGTCAATCAAACAAAACTTATTCATTAAATTTAGACGGAGTATCTCAAGGATCTCAGGTTACCTCATGTGAGAAATTTAAATAATTGTAGGAGAGCTGATCACCTGTGTTGACTTTCAGGTTCACGGTATGATTCCACACTCCAGTCTCTCCACACTGATATGATCCAGCATCCTGTAAACTCAGATTTCTGTAGATCACTATAAGTCCTCCAGAAGAGTCATATAGAGAAAGTCTCTCTTTATGACTCCACGTGTTCTGTGTTTGATTAGATTTTATAAATGCACACTCGTTTAAAGGTTTCCTACAGAAGTATTTATCAAACTCTCCATATTGACTGTGTGAACAGTAGATTACGACACTACCTCCTGGGTAGCCAATCACATCAAAGCAGCCCACTGGACCTGCCAATCAAATTAAAGGTTCTCATTTATTCTCCAGATTCTTTCACGTGTTTCTCCGGCAAAATTATTATACAATAGGAAGCAATTGTATCTTATACTGCTGGGTAGAAGAACCTATAGGTAAAATATATACAATCTTTAAGATAATTTGAGGTCTAATATCTTACCTGAGATCAGGTAGAGGATGAAGATGAGGAAGATCTTCATCTCAATCTTGAACCCACTTTCTTCAAAATCCTGTACGTTCAATTTTATTCTCTTAAATTCTGCTTTTCCTCATCATTTGTGGTCGTCTGTCTGTGTGTCTCCGTCTCCTCTTCTCTCTGGTTTGCTTGGTTCCTCTTTCTCTGGTGAGTGTTACAGTTGTTCAACCTCACAGCTCCTCCAATCAGCACCACTGACCACACACTAAAATAAACACAGAGGATTTGACATCCGGTGCCAGCTATGCATGTATATATGCTCTTCACAAAATAGTGATGCTATTTCTAGCTTGATTAGTTAAAGTGTTCATGTCCACACTGATCCAGGATCTGCTCGTGCTACCAGGATCGGACCCCTAATCCTTTAACCTTTTCAACTCCTTGAGACCACCAGCGGTTCCGAAAACGCACTTCGTCATATTCTTCACAACTTTCATATTTCATAAGCTACATTCAAAAGATGGGTGTCATATGAGAGTTGTAACTGTCTTCTTTCCAGTCAAATAGATGGGTGATGCAATTTTAAACCCCTATAATAAAAGAAGCAGAACACATTTTTCCACAAATCTGGGCTATAATCTATAAACAGATGGCGACTCTTCAGTGATCTGCACCGTAAAAATTATGTTTGTAAAAAAATACAAAGAGCATCTACGATTTTTGGCTTTCAGCAGTAAATTGTAAGCATATAGCAATATGTGTGATCATAAAACACTTTCTGTTAATTTGAGGGGAGCTTTTACAAAAAAATAAATAAATAAATAAATAAAATAAAAATTTACATTTATTTCTTGCAGTTACTGAATAATTTGCCTTACGATTTGGTCATGTAAATTCAGATGGACAAACCAAAATATACACTGGAGAATAAGAGGTTAAAAAAGAAACTTTCACTGATTTCCATCATCACACTGAGAGAGAATGAGGATGATGAGGATTTTTGTCCTTTCTTCACTTTGTTTTGATACAGTTTGTGCACAGAATTTTTATAGTTTTACGTCCGAAAGATTTAAGGACCCTATTTTTGTGATCACAGTGCAAACACAAAAATAGGATCACCATGCTGGAACGTGTGGGTGTGAAAAATAGCTTTTTATTCATGACTATCATTAGAGGGGATAACCTGGTAAACTCCCTATCTTTTGCCTTTTCCAGTTCCTTTCTTCCTACTCTCTCCATCCTTCTCCTGCTTTCTTTTTGTCTTACTCTCTTTCACTCACTCCTTCCCTCCTGACACGCGTAGATAAATCCAATGAATAAAAAGAAAGTGTAACACACTCTTCCTTCCATTCAGGTCAGAAAAAAAATAAAACATAGATTGTGTGCGCTGTGATCTACACCTCACTGTGGTCACAGTCTCGTTTCGCAGCTCTTCCTGTTCTCTTTGGTTTTGGCCTGTGTGGAAATTCCCCTTTTCTTCACATTAATTTTGACCACATGCTGCTTCTAAGCAACAAAAAGCAAGTATAATCTTAATGCAAAATAATTGTTCATGAGCACTAAAGCAGAGAATGGTCAGATAGAAAACATTATGCATAAAAGAATTAATGTTAGGTTTTTAAAATTCAAATTCTTTTTTTCTTCAGGAGGTCAGGGGACATGTAAGAGGCTGCTTTGTGTTGTCTTTGAATGTGAATTTTAGGTTTACTTGTGGCAGCCTGTGGCAGGACTGCATCATGCTCATCTCTGGTGTGTTTTTCCAGACTGGTCGCACATGTCTTCACATTTCCTGACCACACATTTTTTCACCATTTTTTGATTTCAACAGTGATCTGGTTTGGTATTGATGAGTCAAGTCCCTTTCTGCCAGCAAGAAAGGCCTGGGTTTGATTCCCCGGCCGGGCAACCAGGGTCCTTTCTGTGTGGAGTTTGCATGTTCTCCTCGTGTCTGCGTGGGTTTCCTCCCACAGTCCAAAGACATGCAGTCAGAACAACTGGACATGCTAAATTGCTCCTACATGTGAATGTATATGTCTGTCTGTCTGCTATTTTACTTTTCATAAAAAAACACAACATATTTAGCATTTTTATATACTTATATATCTATTTTATTTATTTTTTCCCTGATATGCAGTGTGTAAAATACCCCCTGGTATTTGGGGGTCTCATGTTGGCTGGCTTCTTTAGCATTAACTGACTGCTAACTCACTCACCATAGCGGTGCTGATGCTTCAGTGGCTCTCTTCTATACAGGAACAGTCACTTTTTACACCAAACTCTTGGGAAAATTGGGTACATTTTCAGATGTACAAATAAATCTTGGCATACTGTAAAGTTTTACAGGCAGAGTTACAGTTGCTAGGCTATGAAGGACCAACTGGGTGAATCAGTTTGCTACAGCGCCACCCTGAGGCAGAGCAGTGCTGCAGCTCTACTTAGTTAAGAATACCAACAGCAGAAGCTCGCTGATTTTGGGTGAAGCAGCTAAACAGTGAGCTTTTCCTGAATTTGTGTTTGAGTGTTTGTTTGACCATGATGGGCAGCAAAATAACACTATAATAAATTTATTTTCAGGGACCCCCTCAGAATTTTGATGTTGAGACTTTCAGGGGGGCCAATAGGTTATTTAGGAGGTGCCACACCATCCAGGACCCTCTGTATTTGACACCTGACATGAGTCGTCAAGCTTGACTTGAATGCTTTCATTGGCCCAGAATGTGAGAGGTCAAGTGAAATCAACACATGCTCCAATCACTGAAAACACATGTTGCGGCGAGGTGTACACCCAATAACTTCCAGAAGGCCTAGAGTGTTGTTTCTCTCACCAAATTGGTTCCCATTGTGAACAAAAACATGATTAATTGATTCCTCTGTCACTTCTTAATTATGATGATGGTTAGCTTAACATGTAAGGCCTTCAGTCCTGCTCCTGAAGTCCTAACCAATGGGAGAGCTTACTTGGCTGTATCTTACTACATCCCATAGAGAACAAAAAACCTGATTGGACAATTTTCCATTTCAAGATTTTAACCCTTTTTAGCCAAAACATATAAAGAATATTACTACAATATTCACAGAGTTTAATTACAATAAGCTGATTTTTTTTTTTAATTGAACCATCATGTAACAATATGAAATGATTTAATAGTTCCTTGAAATCATTAGGCACTGAAGGTTCCTCACTGCAGACTTAAGAGTACTTTTTGTAAATAAAAATACTTTTTCCATCCAGGGTCCAAAGACCCTGGGTGTGACACAAATATATAATGGATAGAACATTAAAAAACTGTGAGCATAAAAACATTGAAGAACCAATGTGCAGCTGCATGAAGTCAGTTTTTATTTTCAAAATCTGACATTTGCTGAACAGCAAAAATGAACATTTTACAATGGAATAGTTTTCCTCAAAGACAAACTTGATTCTTTTGATGTAAGACTGGTATTTCTACCTTTGAAAGCAAGATGGTGATTGGCTGTTAGTTCAGTACTGATTAAAGCTACTCAAAGTTTGTGTGGTGTCTGATTGTGGCGTACTCAGTAGCAGATTCCTCTTTACTGAAGATGACTGAGGTACCAGTGGGTGAAGCTGGATTCCTCCGGAAGCTCACAGTGGTGTAAGTGGACTCTTGGTCTTTGGATGGTTGTACAATATCTTTATTAGGGGTGTTTGTGGGTGATGAAGCATTTGCATAAACTCCAGTATCATCATTGTTGCTGGCCACAGGGGAAACCTGAGAGTGAACAAGAATGAGAACAAGTTGGGCTTTTAAAAAGGGCACTAACAATCACGCGCATGCACACAATGACAAAACTTCTCACCTGTTTACTGTTGTTGAGCTCCGTCCTGAATGATGGGGTGAAGCCTGTAATTGGACAGAACCAGTAACACATTGTTTCTCAACTGACCAGCACACATTCTTACAGTTCTTACAGAGTGTGTATGTCAGTGTGTGTGATATTGTGGATTGTACCTTGTCTCTTTTTGTGTATCACAATACAGAGAATCAGTGCTAATCCTCCAATCAGCAGCAGAACCACACAGACACTTATAGAAATGAGGACAGGAGAACCTGGAGAGGAGACACAGAGATGAGAGAGAAAAAACATATTTTCACAAAAAAAAATATATATTTTTTTTTATATTTTTACTGCAGGGCAACTGGTCGGTCTGTGCTCTAATTGTAGGACTCTGTGCAGGTGTAGTCATATTACAGAGGAAGGGCATCAGAACCTTCAGTGTCCTGGTACCCACCTTTTTATCAAACCAGGCACCCTGCAGCTCCACATCTGTTCCAGTTCAGTAAACCACTGAACCTTTGCGGATATACATTTCAGAAATTTAAACGGGGTTCTTACTGAATTTTTCATCAGATTCGATTAGGGTTGGTGCTGTTGATGTGGTCCTGTAGGTGGCTGTAAAAGACAGAAATTAAAAAAAGCCATGATGAATTGACCTTTTATGATAAACAGGGTTAAATATAGATATGAACTATTAAATCTTATTGGACTGTTCCTCTAAAGGAGATATTAAGCAGTTGTGGTTTACAAGGCATTACTCTTTTTTGTGCTTTTGGTGCACTGACAGTTGAGAACAAACAGCGTCGCATTACCTCTTTTTTATAGTATTAATTATACAATTTAACTTATATATTTCTTGAAATTGATATATTGTAACCTTCGTCCTGTAGTCCATCTCTGTCTGTGTAGACTAGACTAGACAACTGTTCGTATCCTTAGATTCTGTAACTTCCTCTGTTCTCTGTGGTCTTTTGATGATGACAAAATCTAATCATTTTCATGCTCAGTCTGGTGTGAAAAAGTATCATAAAATTTTCCAATTTAGTTTTTAAAACACATAATATTGTTTTAATATTTTACTTAACAATGTCATAAAATGTAACTATTCATTCTTTAGGCAGAAGTCAGCTACTGTAAAACATATTTCTCTTATTAGTAACTCTCCCCAAATGAACAATGAATACATAAGCATTAGGAAAAGTATCTCACCATTCACCTGTAGCTGAGTCTGTGTGTAGAGGGAGTAATAGCTGACTGACTGTCCTCCAACACCCACTGCACAGAAATAAACTCCATCATCTTCTCTCACATCACTGATTTTCACACTGAGAAGTTTAGAGCTTCTGTTATCAGACATGGAGAATCTGCCTCTCTGAGTGACTGTGGTACTGATCAGTTTAGGAAAATATTGACCATCCAGTTTGTAGAAGGTCTTGCTGTGTCTCTCAAACTGCTCTGAATATGAACAGCTGATGGTGACATTCTCTCCCAGATAACCAGTCACAGTTTTTGACCTCATACAACATGAATCTGTCAACCATATGAAAATAAATTAACTTACCCAGTCATTTTTCACCTCACATCAATAAATACATTAAAAAAAACCTTTATAGAATGTCAGAATTCCTCACCTGTGTTGACTTTCAGGTTCACCTCATGACTCCACACTCCAGTCTCTCCACACCAATATGATCCAGCATCCTGTAAACTCAGGTTTCTGTAGATCACTATAAGACCTTTAGTGGAATCATGTACAGTAAATCTGTATTTCTGATCCTGCGTGTTTGGAGTGTGATGAGATCTCATAGATACACATTTTAGTGGTTTTTCTTTACAAAAATATTTATTAAACTGTCCACGCAGTTGGTGACTGCAGAAGATTATGACAGTACCTCGCAGGTAGCCAATCACATCAAAGCAGCTCACTGGACCTGCTAATAAAATGAAAAGTTCCCATGAAACTCTGATTTCACAAAATTGCTCCCAGTACTCTCAATTTTACAGTTCAGTGCTAAAAACACTGTATGTTACATGTAGTAGTTCTGTAACTTTAATCTGAAGTAGAGTAAATGACCTGAGATAAGGTAGAGAGTGAAGATGAGGAGGATCTTCATCCTGGACTGAAGATTCACAGGTGTCAGATGTTCTCACAAACTCCTCTTGATCTCCTCCAGAGGTACATTGTAATTTCCTGTGTAACTTGCAGTTTGTTTTGTGCAAGTGGTTGTCTTCCTTCTGCTTTTGTCGTTTCCTTTTTCTCTGTCAGAGTTACTCAAACTAACAGCTCCTCCCCCCAGCATCACTGTCCACATACCAAATTAAAGTATGAAGTCATGTGAAGTACACTCTGTCGTTTTTAGTTTTTGACATCATTTGAAAGTGCCTGCTGCTTTTTACATTGTGTGTAAATTTCATGATGAACGAAACAAAAGAAACGACCCAAAATGATTTGGAAAAAAGTCTGGTTCCATTGACTTACATTAAAATTAAAGTATGTTACCATTTAACAGATACGAGGTTTTGTGCCGACAGCAGACACACACACACACACACACACACACACACACACACACACACACATATACATACACAGGGAGATTCACTCGAAAGAGGCCCCAAATATTCTGCTGTAACTCCTGTTAGGATGAAGCGATCTGGACCAAAAAATACAGTACATACCTTGACGTATGTGTAATAGATTGCATTACATGCGGTGCTGGAAATGATCTCTGTTTTCTGCCAGACATGAAGGGGTACGGGGGTATGCACGTGGAAGTTGCAAACGGAGGTTACCTCATCGCTTCAACGAATGGGCACCCCGGCTTGTTCGAAGCTCCATGTACTGAGGAGCACATTGCACGTTGTTTCATTCAGATAGCTTTGTCCCAGCGAGAGTTACTACAGAATATTCGGGGTCTCTTTCGAGTGAATCTCCCTGTATATATATGTGTGTATATATGTGTATATGTGTGTGTGTATATATATATATATATATATATATATATGTGTGTGTGTGTGTATGTGTGTGTGTGTGTTTCGCTGCTGTCTGCACAAAACCTCGTATCTCTAAAATGGTAACTTCATGTCCTCATATGTCAAATGTTCACTTTTCACAACTCAACTTCCACTTTCAGGAACCCAATGTTAGATGACTGGCTAACTAATCCTAGCTAAACAGGTTCAGCGTTATTTTCCTATTTTGCTGTTTTAGAATAAAATCGCAGATGTTAAGCCACATGGTTTACCCATATAAAGTGCAGTTTAATCTCAGATTTGGTGGTATAAAGCCATATTCAGCAAATCTAGTCTAATACAGATTCCCTTATGAACTGGGGATGCAAAGTTATTTATTTATTTATTTTTTTTATCATGCACATGCTATAAACAAAGAAATGTCATCTGGCATGAGAAATGAATCATCAGAGACACCAGAGTGTCACTCTCAGAATTTACAAACTGCCATGCTGTAGTAATCAGATCGTCAGTTGGTCTGTTTGTAGAGAAACCACTAGAGAAACCATCTAGAGTGCAACTGTCTCTCTCTCCTACTAGAAATGAACTATATAGGTATCAGTGAATTTATACAGTTTGAAGCCTGTGAATGTACTGTCTCTAAAGGTTCACACATTAATGTAAGCTAATGTTCAAGCAGCTAATGAGCAGTAGGGCTTTCACTGAAACTCAAATATTCTCCACTGCTTTAATTACTTTAACAGCTTATTTACTCTTACTAAAAAAAAATATATATATATATGTATTCAAGTAAATGATCACTACAGTAACAGTACTCTTAAGTATGTAACATTAATCGTAATTATGCCCCCAACAGATGATCTACAGATGTGCAAATTATTACCAAATTACCTGGTGAAACTCAGTACCAGGGTTTAGGACCAAGGTAAGGGGTTAGGTCAAGGATCAAGGTGAGGGCAAGATAGGTTTGAGTTTTGGGTTGCAACTAAGGATCAGGGTTAAGGCTAGTTTTAGTTTTAGAGAACCTAAGGTGCAGTTAATATATGTTTAGTTGGAAGTATATTTATGCACTTGGATTGTTTCAGCATTTCAGTTTGACCCCCACTGATTTTTTTTTGCTTATGTGAACGTGTCAAACAAACTCAGACTGGGCAGAACAATTAAAATAAGGACCTAACAGACCATCTCTCGAGATGTTCTCAGTACAATTAGCTTGTAGTTTTTGTGGTCCAGTTGATTTGTCCATTGTGAAAACTAAACACCCCCAGTACACTTCAACATTTTGCTTTGTCAAAATCTCTAGGCTTACTTATCTGCACAGCCAGTATTCCTGCACACTAATGAGAAAAACAAACTCCTTAGAATAAATGCTGCCCATATTCTCGTCAAGAGACAAAGAGGAAAAAAACACAATTTCAATCAAACTGATTTAGGAAAATCAATAATATTTAATGGTTTTAATAACTTGGTGCTATTGTAGTATTTTACTGTGGCTTCAGTGGCTCAGCCATTCATATCTGTTGTATGATGAACTTATACAACATCATACGTAATTTGGTTTCATCCAGGTGGAATATGAGTTCTGAAGAGGTTCTGGTGTGAACAGTGAGTGGTCTGAAATCTCATCAATGCTAAAGAGGACCAGAAAGAGGATGAGGAATCTTCAATTTTTTTTTGGTAAACACAAACACAAAAAGGTAAAGAGGTAATTTGCAACTGGGTTCCTTTTTAGGCTCAGCTTAACAGAACTGAGTTTTGTTCATTTAAAGAAAAGTATATGTGAAAACACCCAGAGTTTAAAATGACATTTGGCAGCATTGGGAATGTAGCATATCTGTAATAGTATATCAGTCTGTTCTTTGGACAGAAGAGATATATGAAATATATGAAAAAATACCTGTTTCAGGATGTCAGGATGCTGGTTATTGACCACAACTCTGGATTTAACAAAATTGTTCCTTCTTAACCGGAGATGAAATTAAGAAACTTGGTATTAGACTTTCTGAACAATAAACAGCTTACAGTGAGAACTGGAAACATGTTCTTATAAGAAACATAAGGTTGCAGATGACACCACTGTGGCACTGAGCAACAAGAGGAAGATATCAGATCTGTCTGTTTGGGGTCACAACAACAATCTGGCCCTGAATGTCACCTAAACTAATGAGCCCATTGTGAACTTCAGGAAAAACAAAGAGGATTGTACTCCCATCATCATCAATGGCTCGCCTGTTGAAATTGTTGGCAGTGTCAGATTGCAGGGTGTGCAACTATCAGATTCCCTCTTTTGGTTCCTGAACACTAGCACCATCCTTAAAAAAGCACAGCAGCAACTGTGGAGACTAAAAAGCTTTGGGATCAATATATCTTTTAACTTTTACTGCTGCACCAGAGAGAGTGTTCTGGCTGTTACATAATAGTGTATGTAATGGCTTTCCAACCTCACTGCCCAATGTCTCAGACTCCAATGTAGAACTGTCAGAACTGCTTTCAAAATCATAGGCATCAACCATAAATGGAGAAAAATTTTGGAACAGGAGTGGCCGGCCTACCAAAACTACGCCAAGAGCACATCGCCGACTCATCCAGGAGGTCATAAAAGAACCCAGATGAACATCTAAAGAAATGTAGGCCTCACTTGCCTGAGTTAAGGTCAGTGTACACGACCGCACAATAAGAAAGACACCGAACGAAAATGGTATCCATAAGAGAGCTGCAAATGTGATGAGCAAAAAGAACACAAAGGCTCGTCTCACATTTGCCAAAAAACATCTAGATGACCCCCAAGATATCTGGGATAATATTATCTGGTCTGATCAGTTAAAGGTGGAACTTTTTGTAAGGCATATGATCTGTTATATCTGGCATAAAGCTAACACCGCATTCCGCCATAAGAGTATCATACTAACAGTCAAACATGGTGGTGGTAGTGTGATGGTCTGGGGTTGCTTTGCTTCTGCAGGACCTGGACAACTTGTTGTAATTGATGGAAATGTGAATTCTGCTCTCAGAAAATCCTGAAGAAGAATGTCCACCTGTCAGTTTGTGACCTAAATCTCAAGCACAGTTTGGTTATGCAGCAGGACAATGATCCAAAGTGCATTAGCATGTCCACCTCTCATTGGCTCAAAAGAAACAAAATTAAGGTTTTGGAGTGGCCGAGTCAAAGTCCTGACTTAAATCCCATTGAGATGCTGTGGCCAGAGCTTAAACAGGCAGTTCATGCTTAAAAACCCTCCAGTGTAGCCAAATTAAAAAATCTGCAAAGAAGAGTGATGAGTGGGCCAGAATTCCTCCACAGCAACATAAAAGACTCATCACAAGTTATCGCAAACATTTGATTGCAGTTGTTACTGACGAGGGTGGCACAACCAGTTATTAGGCTCAGGGGGGGCAATTATTTTTTCATATGGATGATATAGGTTTTGAATAAATCTTTATCTTCAATAAATGGAATGGTTATTTAAAAGACATATTTTGTGTTTATTCATGTTGTCTTTATTTTATATTAAAATTATATGGATGATCTGATTCATTTAAAAAGGAATTGTTGAAAATAGAAGAAACTGGGCAAATACTTTTTGACTGCACTATAAATAATACCCCTTAGAAATCAATATATCAGAGCTGGGACTAGCAGAATGTGCTATTTCAGTCATTTTATTGTTTGAGCTACACAACTCTATTTTTTAATTAGACAGAAAAGCACATTTTTACATTTTACATTACATTTTGTACTGTATTTATGGTTTTACCTATATTGTAATGTGATGTTTAACTCCAGTTTTATTGTTGTGAGCTGTAGCTACAAATTAGCTAGGGGGATGAGTTTTTCCTTGTGGCTAGAAAAGACTTTTCACCACCAGATGGCAGTGTTTCTTAAGTTCATTTACTGTGTTCTTTTATTTTGCTATAGCAAATAATTACAAAAATGGATGATGAAGTAAAACTAGGAGTGTTGCATATTCACAAGTATACTGTGTATCAGTATGTGGGAATGTTATCAATAAACCATGTATAATGCATCTGATATTGTATATAATAAAACTGATATAGTTTTTAGTAATTTAAGAAATTCTCCCACTATACAATCACTATATTTGTTATTGTACATTCTACTCTAAATTGATTTATTGTAAAATGAGCATAACAGTGATTTTATTTACATTCTTTACAAACAGATCATATTGTCTCTTT